GGGCCCAATAGGGGAAATATAGCAAATTATTCTTTAAAATCCTTCTTCTTCTGTAGGAATGAAAGGATTTGGTCCATATTTGGTCAGAAGCATCCTTGGGCGAAGGGGAACAAAGTTTGTATAAATGGTGGGTCTGGCCCCCCTGGGGGCTTAGGGGCGGGGCCCAATGGGGAAAATATAGCAAATTCTTTAAAATCCTTCTTCTTCTGTACGAATGAAAGGATTTGTTCCATATTTGGTCAAAAGCATTCTTGGGGGAAGGGGAACAAAGTTTGTATAAATGGTGGTTCTGGCCCCCTTGGGGGCTTAGGGGCAGGGCCCAATAGGGGAAATATAGCAAATTATTCTTTAAAATCCTTCTTCTTCTGTAGGAATGAAAGGATTTGGTCCATATTTGGTCAGAAGCATCCTTGGGAGAAGGGGAACACAGTTTGTATAAATGGTGGGTCTGGCTCCCCTTGGGGCTAAGGGGCGGGGCCCAATGGGGGAAATATAGCAAATTCTTTAAAATCCTTCTTCTTCTGTAGGAATGAAAGGATTTGTTCCATATTTGGCCTGAAACATTCTTGGGTGAAAGGGAACCAATTTTGTATACACCGTGGATCTGGCCCCCCAGGTGCCTGAGCCGTGGGGCCCAATAGGGGAAACATAGCAAATTATTCTTTAAAATCCTTCTTCTTCTGTAGGAATGAAAGGATTTGGTCCATATTTGGTGTGGAGCATCGTTGGGTAGTGGGGAACAAAGTTTGTATAAATGGTGGGTGTGGCCCCCCTGGGACCTGAGGGGTGGGGCCCAATAGGGGAAATAGACGTAAATCTTCAAAATCCTTCTTCATCGGTAGGAATGGCAGGATTTTGTCCATATTTGGTCTGAAGCATTCTTGGGTGAAGGGGAACCAATTTTGTATAAACGGTGTGTCTGAACCCACTGTAGGCAGAGAGGTGGGGCCCAATAGGGAAAATAGAGGTAAAACCTTTAACATCCTTCTTCTACCATAGGGATTAAGGGATTTTATCCTAATTTAGTCTGGAGCATCCTTGGGCCAAGGGGACACAATTTTGTATTAGCAGTAGGTGTGGTCTCTGAGGGGGGGGGGGCAGAAGGGCGGGGCCAAATAGGAAAAATAGAGGTAAAACCTTTAAAATCCTTTTCCGACTATCAAGATTAAGTGATTTTATCCGTATTTAGTGTGGAGCATCCTTGGGTGATTGTGACTCAATTTCGTATAATTGGTGGGTATGACCCCCGTAGGGGCATAGGGGTGGGTCTCTGTTTGAAGTTTGTTCTCTATATCTCAAGTACTGGATGGATCTTTCTGAAATTTCATATGTACTAACAGCACCTACCATGGAGTGCTATATCTTTACTTCATACCAATTACTATAATTATATTCAGGTGAGCGATACAGGCCCTCTGGGCCTCTTGTTTTTTATAAAACCGTCCTCATGCTCAAACTCAGACCATGTGATCAAGCCATATATAGTTATAAGTAATTAAGATTTCTCTGGTTTTTAGCTCACCTGGTCCGAAGGACCATGGTGAGCTTATGCCATACCGCAGCGTCCGTCGTCCGTCGTCCGTCCGTCGTTCATCCGTCAACTTTTTCTTTAAAACGCTACTAGTCCTGAACGGCCAAGTAGATTTTAACTAAATTTGGTCTAGAGTATCCTTAGGCCAAGGGGACTCAATTTTTTATAAACGGTGGGTGTGGCCCCCCTGGGGGCAGAGGGGCGGGGCCCAATAGGGGAAATAGAGGTAAAACCTTGAAAATCCTTCTTCTACCGTAGGGATTTAAGGATTTTATCCTAATTTCGTCTGGAGCATTCTTGGGCCAAGGGGACTCAATTTTGTATAAATGGTGGGTGGGGCTGGGGGGCGGGGCCCAATAGGGGAAATATAGCAAATTCTTTAAAATCCTTCTTCTTCTGTAGGAATGAAAGGATTTGTTCCATATTTGGTCTGAAGCATCCTTGGGTGAAGGGAAACCAATTTTGTATAAACCGTGGGTCTGGCCCCCCAGGGGCCTGAGGGGTGGGGCCAAATAGGGGAAACATAGCAAATTATTCTTTAAAATCCTTCTTCTTCTGTAGGAATGAAAGGATTTGTTCCATATTTGGTCTGAAGCATCCTTGGGTGAAGGGGAACCAATTTTGTATAAACCGTGGGTCTGGCCCCCCAGGGGCCTGAGGGGCGGGGCCCAATAGGGGAAACATAGCAAATTATTCTTTAAAATCCTTCTTCTTCTGTAGGAATGAAAGGATTTGGTCCATATTTGGTGTGGAGCATCCTTGGGTAAAGGGGAACCAATTTTGTTTAAACGGTGGGTGTGGCCCCCCTGGGACCTGAGGGGCGGGCCCCAATAGGGGAAATAGAAGTAAAACCTTTATAATCCTTCTTCTACCTTATGGATTGAGGGATTTTATCCTATTTTAGTCTGAAGCATCCTTGGACAAAAGGGACTCAATTTCGTATAAACACCTGGGGATAGAAGGGAGGAGCCCAATAGGGGAAACATAGCAAATTCTTAAAATACCTTCTTCTGTACGAATGACAGGATTTTGTCCAAATTTGGTATGAAGCATCATTGGGTGAAGGGGAACCAATTTTGTATAAACGGTGTGTCTAACCCCCCTGGAGGCAGAGAGGCGGGGCCCAATAGGGGAAAAAGAGGTAAAACCTTTAAAATCCTTCTTTTACCATAGGGATTTAGGGATTTTATCCTAATTTAGTCTGGAGCATCCTTGGGCCAAGGGGACTTAATTTTGTATATGCAGTGGGTGTGGTCTCCCAGGGGGCAGAAGGGCGGGGGCCAATTGGAGAAATAGAGGTAAAACCTTTTAAATCCTTCTTCGAACATCGAGATTAAGGGATTTTTTCCATATTTAGTCTGGAGCATCCTTGGACCAAGGGGTCTCAATTTTGTATAATTGGTGGGTATGACCCCCCTAGGGGCATAGGGGTGGGGCTCTGTTTGAAGTTTGTTCTCGCTATATCTCAAGTACTGGATGGATCTTTCTGAAATTTCATATGTACTTACAGCACCTACCATGGAGTGCTATATCTTTACTTCATACCAATTATTTTAAACATATACAGGTGAGCAATACAGGCCCTCTGGGCCTCTTGTTAACAGGTTAGAGAGACATCTGAAAGACATGAAGCAGAATATTGTTTTCACTATTTAAACACAACTATTTGGATTGTTGGAATGTGTATTTTTTACCACATATTAAGTCGAGATCTTTAATGATAGGAACTGCAAAATTACTGTCATCTACCCGTGTTACACTGTAAAAGACTTTCATTTAATAAGTTAGCTTTGTCCTCGGCAGCTGTACCCACATTGTTAGAAAAATGATCTACAAGAGAAGGTTTTTTTTAACGTTATGATGAACGAGAAGATTGCATTAGTCGTTTAATGAGTCACCAGTAAGCTTTCAGGTCAGAGGATGAGTGTTCATGAAAAATTCTCCATCCTCGTAAAATGATTTTCGGCATGCTTTCTTTACGCTGATCTTGATCATGTTGATATCTGAAAAATGTTTGGTTTACCTTGCGATTTTTTGCAACGTAATAATCATGAGTTCTCAAATGTTTTCTTGATTCGGAGGTCATCCAATGTTTGTTCGTTGGTCTTATAGTTACTTCTTTGTGATAAAGAAAATTAAACTGAATATATTTCTTTCTCATACAAATTTTTTCTTTAGTAAATGGACAAGCAACTCAAAGTCAGAAAAGAAAACCAAAGAAGCAACACAACCTTTGTACTCTCTACCTTACTGTGTCAGTTTGTCGGTACTGTGAAAAGGTAACTGAACTCTTGTTGCACAGTTGCACTAACACCATATCTCGAGTAGAGTTATGGGCCCTTGGTGACTGTTGTGTAGGCTGGCGAGATCTCCTTGGGATAGACGATCCTGTCTGACCTAACTTTGACACATCCTATTGGTTTATGTCACAGGTACACATCGCCCGATTAGTTTCTATTCCTGTACGAAACCTTGGAAAACAGGCGGAACTTCTATATAAAAACAGATACAGCGGACTTGTCATGAGTCATAAAAGTTATTTCATCAGCCATGCTAATATCAAATGTTGAAAACTGTTATTTTTAACATTTATAACATTCTTGTTTCCAATACTCTGATAGGTCCAGGCTTCCCGCAATGTTACAGG